GTTATGTCGATTATTTCAGACAACAGCACTAGCACTGAGCCTAATTGGTTTTCCATCTTACCGCGAGATACGTGTGATACCCCGGGACCTAGCACTAAGCAAATCTTTGGCATAGCCGAGCCGACCGAGTTGAGGATTCCCATATTCCCGCCGCCAGCCAGTCCCAATTACGATAGATGCGATAGTCCAGCGCCCCTGATTTTGACTCAAGATGAGGCAGTGCAATTGGAATATTTGAAGGTGCATGGTTTACCGCCTCCTGGTGAAGCCAAGCCGGTACCGAAAGGTAAATTAATTCGCGAACATTAAAATAAGAATACAAATATATACGCAGATATATGATTGTGTTTTCCAATTTTTCAAACGGATTTACAGATCTAAGATATGGCTGGTGGAGGATAACAGATGTCGACACGTTCCAAGAACTCCTCGAGCATCTACATTCACGCGGCGTCCGTGAGAAGGAATTGAAGCGCACAACATGGGCAACGATGGAATCTTTCCTGGCTGTAACAGGTAAAATTAATGTTGATTCTGGTAACACCGTCGCAACGGAACTTCAAGCGGAATCGGACGATCCTGACACGCCAATTCCGAAGCCCGATAATCCGAGCGACTGGAGCGAACAGGTTGCGCTACGCGTAGATGCCCAGCTCTTGGAACAGGTGGAAGCCCTTGAAGACAAAGTAGCTAATGCTAGCATGCAGGTCAAAGGCTGGAAACTTCCACCGCGAGCGGGAACCGAGGAAGCCGAGGAAATCGAAAAGTTGAATGAGATGGAAAAGATCAGCGCAGTCGAACAGGCACGACAAAGGTTACTTTCCTTGGAGGCGGCTATAGAAAGAAGATACTTGAAACCACCTTTAGGCGTTTGGTAAGATAACATCTCTTAATTATTATTTTTATTTTATGCTATAATTATATCATAATTTTTATGACATTTTGTAATAAGAAAAAAAAAATATATTTTGCAAAAAAGATCTTTAAAGATGATCTCATTAACATAGATACACAGGTACACAAATGAATTTCTTTCTTCTTGTTAAATGGAATTCGATTAATTAGTATATCTTGTGTTACTATTAATAAAATAATTAGCATTTAAATTGAATTATTTGATCAGCAAGTCTATAATTAATTGGTAATCATAATTGCGTAGTACCGGAGATCCCAACCTGACGGCTCTTAAGGCGGAACAGGCGGCGGCCGCCAACGCAAACAATTCGAATAATTCCGAGCAGAATAACCAGGCATCCGCACCGCCGGAGGAAACGACACCACGGGGTCTGAATACCTGGCGAGAGGCAACCGCGCGTGCACATACATCGGCGCAGCTCGCTATGGCGCTTTACATGCTCGAGGCCAGCATCGCTTGGGACAAGAGCATCATGAAGGCTGTGAGTCTAACAACAGCTAGAAACTCGGTCTGCGCCAAGCTACGAAACCGCTGCGTCTCACTCAAAGCTACCAATCAGTACAAACAGCTATTGACTACTTCTCAGACCTCTGTGGGTATTCGCACTAACTTACTAACCGAATCATCCTCGCTGCTCCTGCTCCTATACCTAATATACTCTTGTCCTCTTCTGTTCGATGGCTCACAGAGATAGCGTACGTCGCTTCGAATGGATATCGACAGGTGTTTATTCGATTCGATGACCGAGCCTACGCTTCTCATTGCGACTGTGCTCTCACAATACATCCGCTTCCAATTTCATTCCAAAATTCCAATGTATATTGTCACGTGTGCGAAGAATATGGCAATGAAATTTGCATACATCCGTTGAATTTCGCTCTGTTGCGCGACGCCCTTGCTTCATTCATCTTAATTTATGCGAATGCAATTGATATACCGAAATTGATCCGCGCGTTTGTTGAGATGAGTCCTGTTCGTGAATTGAATATTGATACGCATAACGTTTACGTGTATAAATTGCATAACAAAAATCAAAGAATAAATGTTAAAGAATGTACATTTAATGGTGGTCAGAGTTTAACGTAACGGTTGCATGCAAAACTGCCGCTTACTATTTCATTCGTTTTCTTTTTATTAGTTTTAATGTCTTTTTTTCTAACTTTTACGTTCTTTTAGCCCGCTTTTTCAGATCCTCTAGCACATTCCGAAAAATCTTATTGCTATTTTTGTTATTCATGATTCGTCATTCATTTGCTGTGGCTCACATTCCTATTATGGCACGATTTAAGTTGTATTCATTATTATGTGATTGCATATAGCATATCTAGATTGAAAAATGTCAGAACTAAAAAATATTTGGCATTTATTATTTTAAATATGTTGCTATATATAAAACTTGTTTAATTGAGCTTTTATAATGATTATTTTTACGCAATACTACTTATAATTATGTTTTGCATTGTGTTTATTAGATATATAAGTTATTCGCATAGATCTTTGTTGTTATGCTTTTTGAATTAAAAAATATCTTATTAACACAAACAATGCTGTAATCTTCATGCTATTCTAGCTGCCACATGAGAAATTAATTCTTCTATTTCATTTTAAATGAGGAGTTTATTTCGATTACAGAATTGCCAGTTTTGTCATAGTGGAGACAACGAAGATAAGCTGCTGCTCTGTGATGGCTGTGATCGTGGCTATCATACTTATTGTTTCCGTCCAAAAATGGAAAACATTCCTGATGGTGACTGGTGAGTGACGACAATCTTACGTTTTATTACATTCTTCAGAATGTAATAAATTACAATTTTATTTTACATTGAAAGTTTTACTCAAATTTTTTCTACTATTACTTCAGGTATTGTCACGAATGTATGAACAAAGCGACGGGTGAACGCAATTGTTTAGTATGCGGGAAAAGAGCGGGTAAAAATTTGGTTTTATGTGAACTTTGTCCCAGGGCTTATCACACTGACTGCCATAATCCTGTTATGCCAAAAGTAAGTGACTGGCGAAATATATCTTTATAGATATTTAAAGATCTTATTATCCGACACAGTCAATTCGTGCGTATCTACAGGCATACATTTTAACACATTGTATTGTGCTCTGCTTGCAGATGCCACGAGGAAAATGGTATTGCTCTAATTGCCACAGTAAACAACCAAAGAAGAGAAATAGTAGTCGAAGGAGTCATACCAAAGGGGGAGGCACCAGAGAAAGTGAAAGTTCTGATCATCCACCAGCTAGGTGATTACGTTAAAAACAAACAAACATTGTCAAGTCACTGACTTAATGACGTTTCGTGCGAAGTACATTAGAAAAAAAAGCCATGATGAGATAATGATTCAATAATATCCAACGAACCACAAATAGCGAACGATATTATTCCCGATTGAATAAAGCAATCTCACAAAATGAACGAACTATCTGTATATACTGTATTCATGCGATTACCGACTTAATCCTCGGCTCCGTGACGCAATACTGCCGAGAATTTTTGTCGTCTTGAGGAACTTTACCTTTCAGCAGGGTGTTCCACGAGAAGCTGTTAGATCGCAGTTTGTTCAGTTAGAAACAATTATGTCGCTTTAATAGCTTTTTCCAGTTCCAAACAGTGGGTGTTTCGAATTTTTTCAATATTATTTTCTCAGATTTCTCTGTCGGGACACCCTGTACATTCATAATACATCGTTGTTGCCTAGCGTACTTGCGATCGCCGACTGTGGGGGGATGGGTATTTTCTCAGAAAAATTCGTCGTATAACAGTAGAGCCGCCTTCAGATCGTGTATGACGAATCGGAAAAAAAAACGAGAGAGGGCGAAAGTGGGCAAAAAATAAAACGAAAAAAAGTAATAGAGAACGAACGAGAGACAGAGAGTCAAAGAGAGAACGCAAATATCTCATCGGGAGCAACGTACCCGTCTCAGCCGGACACACGATTGAATCGATATGCGATTCGTCCTTGCGCATTCGTCCAGAGGCTTTTTATGACGGGAAACCTCCTGCAGAACGGAAGTTAATCGTGCAAATAATTTCTCTGTTGTTTTGCGCCGCAGTCCAACGCCGTCAACGGCATCGAACACGCACGTAGAGGACGTCAGTTCGTCGGAACCGGCGACTCCTACCGCTTCGCCACGGAAGGAGGGTAACAATCGGACGCTCACGAAGAAGCAACAACGAGAGCTGGCGCCTTGTAAGATACTCCTCGAACAGTTGGAGCAGCAGGACGAGGCCTGGCCGTTCCTCCTGCCGGTGAACACCAAACAATTCCCGACCTACAAGAAAATCATAAAAACCCCCATGGATCTCAGTACGATTAAGAAGAAATTGCAGGACTCTGCGTAAGTTGCCCAACACACGCGCCAGCGATTAATTAATTGAAAGTACTATCTTTAACTGCCTTTTCTCTCAAAATCACATCCCGGTCTTTAAGACAGACTTAGTAGAGCTAATATACACAGATCGATCGCAAAAAAAACCCCTAACCGATCATCGTCAACCTTGGTCGGCATGGAAGGCTGAAGTTTTTCACAACGAGTGCTTCTCGATGCAGGTACAAGTCTCGCGATGAGTTTTGCGCCGATGTCAGACAGATGTTCATCAACTGCGAGGTATTCAACGAGGACGACAGTCCTGTGGGCAAGGCCGGCCATGGGATGCGCAGTTTCTTCGAAATGCGCTGGACCGAGATCACCGGCGCGCCGCCCCCGCATCCGCAAACGCATAGCTGAGGCTCGGTACGTTCGCGTAATACTTGCAACAGCTTTGCCCACTTCTACTACTAGGATATGCACCGCATCATCGCGCGATAAACCGACAGTCGTTGTCGTCGTCATCGAAAGAGACTGATCCCCTCTACTTCCGAACTGCTTTATTAATCGGCCTCGTTCTAGCGGCCGATCGAATTTTTCATTGTAATAATAATCGCTACGAATGGTGGATACACTCGTCTATCGTATCATTCATTCTTCGCTGTTTGCATTCTGACACGAGTATGTCCCTGTATTTTATTTCCCTGTTAGCACCACAATGGCGCAGTTTTGTGCGAAGTAACATAGAAAAAAAAAGCCATGATGAGATAATGATTCAATAATATCCAACGAACCACAAATAGCGAACGATATTATTCCCGATTGAATAAAGCAATCTCACAAAATGAACGAACTATCTGTATATACTGTATTCATGCGATTACCGACTTAATCCTCGGCTCCGTGACGCAATACTGCCGAGAATTTTTGTCGTCTTGAGGAACTTTACCTTTCAGCAGGGTGTTCCACGAGAAGCTGTTAGATCGCAGTTTGTTCAGTTAGAAACAATTATGTCGCTTTAATAGCTTTTTCCAGTTCCAAACAGTGGGTGTTTCGAATTTTTTCAATATTATTTTCTCAGATTTCTCTGTCGGGACACCCTGTACATTCATAATACATCGTTGTTGCCTAGCGTACTTGCGATCGCCGACTGTGGGGGGATGGGTATTTTCTCAGAAAAATTCGTCGTATAACAGTAGAGCCGCCTTCAGATCGTGTATGACGAATCGGAAAAAAAAACGAGAGAGGGCGAAAGTGGGCAAAAAATAAAACGAAAAAAAGTAATAGAGAACGAACGAGAGACAGAGAGTCAAAGAGAGAACGCAAATATCTCATCGGGAGCAACGTACCCGTCTCAGCCGGACACACGATTGAATCGATATGCGATTCGTCCTTGCGCATTCGTCCAGAGGCTTTTTATGACGGGAAACCTCCTGCAGAACGGAAGTTAATCGTGCAAATAATTTCTCTGTTGTTTTGCGCCGCAGTCCAACGCCGTCAACGGCATCGAACACGCACGTAGAGGACGTCAGTTCGTCGGAACCGGCGACTCCTACCGCTTCGCCACGGAAGGAGGGTAACAATCGGACGCTCACGAAGAAGCAACAACGAGAGCTGGCGCCTTGTAAGATACTCCTCGAACAGTTGGAGCAGCAGGACGAGGCCTGGCCGTTCCTCCTGCCGGTGAACACCAAACAATTCCCGACCTACAAGAAAATCATAAAAACCCCCATGGATCTCAGTACGATTAAGAAGAAATTGCAGGACTCTGCGTAAGTTGCCCAACACACGCGCCAGCGATTAATTAATTGAAAGTACTATCTTTAACTGCCTTTTCTCTCAAAATCACATCCCGGTCTTTAAGACAGACTTAGTAGAGCTAATATACACAGATCGATCGCAAAAAAAACCCCTAACCGATCATCGTCAACCTTGGTCGGCATGGAAGGCTGAAGTTTTTCACAACGAGTGCTTCTCGATGCAGGTACAAGTCTCGCGATGAGTTTTGCGCCGATGTCAGACAGATGTTCATCAACTGCGAGGTATTCAACGAGGACGACAGTCCTGTGGGCAAGGCCGGCCATGGGATGCGCAGTTTCTTCGAAATGCGCTGGACCGAGATCACCGGCGCGCCGCCCCCGCATCCGCAAACGCATAGCTGAGGCTCGGTACGTTCGCGTAATACTTGCAACAGCTTTGCCCACTTCTACTACTAGGATATGCACCGCATCATCGCGCGATAAACCGACAGTCGTTGTCGTCGTCATCGAAAGAGACTGATCCCCTCTACTTCCGAACTGCTTTATTAATCGGCCTCGTTCTAGCGGCCGATCGAATTTTTCATTGTAATAATAATCGCTACGAATGGTGGATACACTCGTCTATCGTATCATTCATTCTTCGCTGTTTGCATTCTGACACGAGTATGTCCCTGTATTTTATTTCCCTGTTAGCACCACAATGGCGCAGTTTTGTCAAACTTATTCATTGTAAAGTATTATATGTGAGACATTCTTAGTCGATCGGACATTCGGCTCCGGTTTAACAAATCCTGGTAAGGGAAAGTGCGAGAAGCTTCGCATTCTTTGATCGAGATCTTAATCTGCGATAAACGAGAGAACTTCTCGATACAAACGTGATTAATCGGATAAAAGCGCATCGTTTCGATCCCTACCGATCGGGATGAAGCAATGCGAATGGTCATTGTACTTACCGATAAACAAGTGAACATTTTGCCTAAGCGACTAAAATGTAATTTGCGATTGTATTATACAGGCTTAAATGCCGACGCGTCGTTGGCAAAAGAAATATTTTGCAAAGTAATAAATGTGAAAAAGAAAGAGAGGTTATATAAATATATATAAATATATAAATATGAATATAGTGTGTATATGTATACACAGAATATATATACATATATTATACACGTCACACACACATGCATACACTCGCACATCACCTTTGCCCACAAATGAGCATGTAAGGTAAGGGTATTATTCGCAGTAGAAATAGACAGAACAAAGGACATGAAATCGACATTTGGATTAAAGAAATATCTTAACACCGTTTCGCAGAACCATTTTGATTTCTACATTCTTTGCATTTGGCATCGGATTTTATCAATTTAGGAGTGTATATATATGAAAAAGAACACATGAAGTACGCAGAGCGAAACTTGTAATGACAAAGAGGAAGAAAATATTTATATTTTCGCGCATCAGTATTTTAAAACAAGAACATAGTCTCTACTCTATGAATGTTATATTGATTCGCAGATCTGTCAAATTAATAGACAAAATTGTCTATTATAATTGTAATTATCGTTTTAGTGTGAAAAAAGAGTGTGTGTTCAACGATTTATATTTTAATGTAGTCAATGATTATTAATCGAAATGAAACATGTGTTGAGCCTTGCGTACTCTGCATGTGAACGATTTATCAAAAATGTTATTGTCATTTGTAGAAAAATAAGTCTGTTTAGAATTTTCCGTTTGCTTAATTTTATGTAATACAAAGAAGATTTCGTTTCGAATAGTATATATATGAGCAAATACAAAATCTTCCACTGCCGTTGAAGAGATTCGCATCACATTAATATTGCGTTAACAAATATTTATTAAGTAGATTTGAGAGAGATATCATTTCATTTGGCACACGGAAATATTATTCGTTATCCGTGTAGGAAAGTTGTAACGTCCTTTTTGGCTTCCCATTTTTCATTCGAGTGTCGTAAAGTGGTGAATGTCGTAAATGCGGATCAGCACACATACACAGACACAAAATTAGACGTTCAGGGATGATATTACCGAAAATTATTATTCAATTGTTAAATTAGTTGGCGCATCCCCGAAAATACGATCAGTGTGAAAAATTCTTTGAATGTAACGCAGCAAAAAGTGCATTGCATGATGAACGCCTTCAAGAAAATGAATTTCTTCGAGAGTAATGAATGTGATTGTGTTTTGATTGTCATTGAGAAACTAGATTTATATTCGCCACGCGATGCGTAGTATTATTATAATAAGAATTATCGCAATTTTGACTGCGCCAAGTCCAACGATTAAATCTTACGCACTAATTCTCTCCCGTTTGTGCGGAGTTTTCTAAGGGCGACGATTGGCGTCAAACATCTTTCAAAGCGAAATATCTTCGAAGCGTCACTATAGAATAAAGACGAAGAGATATATTGCGCTGCGAACGATAGATGTGTCAGATATTAGTGAGAATTTCTTCGATTATAATCAACCATTGTACCTTTGTAAGTATGACCATTTTACGCGAGACGGTGTCTACGATGTAACGAAAACATTCACACTGTATCTTGTTTTGTATGTAATTGATGTACATTATTGCTTGTAATAGCGAATAACTGGTAAATAAATAATGAGAGAGAATGGGAGGGAAGGGAGAGTTCAACCGTAGTGTGACGTGCTAAATGAATACTGTTTAAAAGAAAAAAAAAAAAACATTCGTAGTGTGTAAAAGTATTAATTAAAGTATAAATGAACGGCGAAAGAGAGAGACCACGAAGTAAAAGTTAATTGATATCGTTCAGGGTGCGACTGAAACAAGCGACGTCTCATCGCCGTAATTGAGAAATGAACATACGGTAAGATCATTGACGGGATTGCGCGATGACTACGAATTTTTTGTTACGTCCTGATGTCGGGAAATAGTTTTTTCGTTTTGTCTATAAAAATTTGTTTATCGTATATAGTCTCGTAAAAAGATGAAAGATTTTAAACGATCTTATGATTTCAGGAACTTACAAATTGTCAATATTAATGATCATCCATATCCATATTATTAATGTTACATATTGTGCTGGATTTCGAGGTCTATCGTGATATTCAGCATTAATAATTTGCGAAAATAATAGCAAAAAAATTCTGTTCTATTACTTTTCTCTTTTTTATTGTCATTTCTTTCATTTGTCAGATTTCAAACATGTAGTAAGGATTCTGCACGGTCACGTAATCTCAGTCTATGTAGAAATAGTAATAAAAATGTTTATTATCCTTTGTAATAGGGATAAGACCGATCGTAATCAGAGAGAGTTCGTGTATATACATATATCGATGTAAAAAATGGGGAGTGCAGATTATATATGAGGCATTTTGTCGATCTTACCGATTGTTCTTACAAAAGAGACACGCCGTGCCGCGCCTCGCATCGTCATACAGTAGCCGATACGTTTAGACATCTCACACGACAAACCGACATACACAACAAAAATAATAATTTTTTAAAATTTAATTATTATTTAAATAGTACAGTTACATTGTTAGTACGTATAACGACGCTTTTTATACGAATTTTAGTTTTTAAACGTCGATCTTACGATATATATATATACATATATAT